CCGTATGCAGACCCTCATCACGGCCTTTGTAGAAACCCTTACTTAATAAAGACAAGAATCATCCTTATAGTAACCCTTATAGTTCAATGTTCCATTGCTCTTTTCAGTCTTCTATCATCAAAGGGACCCTTACGGGGGTAGGGGGCCTGAATGAAGGGCCTAACAGGGCCTGTTTATGAAATTTAGATAGGGCTTCTATAAGGATTCGGGCTTAGCAGTACTATGCGGGTTACTGTAAGGGTCTCTAAAAGGATTTGGGGTTTAGGGGTAGGGGCTAGTTTTGTGCGGCATGCTTTAGAACTCTATCTCTCGGATTTAGTCTAGGGCTTTTTGGTTTATGGTTTGTTGTTTTGCGGCTGAGGGCTTGGGATTTGCAATTTACACCTTGGAGTTTGCGGTTGAGGGTTTGGGGAGCGGTTAGGATTTACAAAGTTTAGATTTTACGGTTGATTTGTGATAGTTTTCCTGGTTCAGACGCTCCCGAACGCGGGCCCAGATCCAGCAACCCTTGCAGCAACCTTTGCAACAACCCTCAAAGCAACTCTTTTCGTAACCCTTACATAGTCGCTCATAACGGGCCTTGTAGAAACCCAATTTAACAAAACACAATCATCCTTTTAGTAACCCTTCTCCAAACCCTGAATCCCTATAGTTACTTTTTTTCTAGAAACCCTGAATCCCTATAGGAGCCATTATAGAAACCCTGTGTTCGTATAGTAACCCGGATGAAACCCCTAAACCCCTAAACCCTATACCCTAAACCCTACACGCCCTTTTTTTGCCCTAAACCCTTAAACCCTATCCCCTAAACCCTAAACGCTAAAACCCTAAACCCTACACCCTAAACCCTAAAACCTAAAACCCTAAAACCTAAACCCTAAACCCCTAAAAACCTTAAAACCCTAAAGCCTAAACCCTAAACCAGCCAAGACAAGGCCCAGACCGTTGCAGATGCCCAGAGCGAAGGAATCTGGCCTGCTGCGAATCTTGCTTGGTAGGGGTTTAGGGGTGAAGGGCTTCGGGGATTTAGGGCTTTAGGGTTTAGGGGTTTAGGGGTTTAGGGCTTTAAAAGGGCTTCGGGGGATTTAGGGCTTCGGGGGTTTAGGGCTTTAGGGTTTAGGGGTTTAGGGCTTTAAACGGGCGTTTAGGGTTTAGGGTTTAGAGGTTTAGTGGTTTAGGGTTTTGGCTTTGTAGGGTTTAGGGCTATAGCGGGTTATAGGGGCTTTTATAGAAGTTGGTAAGGGCTGTATGCCGTGATACCCCTGCCAGCAGCGAATGCCGACAAGGCGCTGCACCGTTCCACAACGTTGGCGGAAAGGTATGTTCTTAGAAGCTGGCAGAGTCCCGCAAAACCACGTCTGCTGCTTTTGCTTGCGGTCAAGACCCCCAGAACCACGTCTGCTGTTTTCATCTTGGAGCTTAAGTCCCCCAAAACCGCCTCTGCTGCTTTCAGTTTCCGTCAAGGCCCGCAAAACCACGTCTGCTGCGTTCACTTTCAGTCAAGACCCCCACGACCACGTCTGCTGCTTTGATTTTGGGTCAAGACCCCCAGCTTGGCTCGGTATTTTTTTCGTCTGGCTTGGCTCCGTGGGGGCTTCGGGGAGGTTTGTTTTTTTTGTTGTCTTTGTCTGGCTTGGCTCGGTTTTTTCTTCGTCTGGCTTGGCTCGGTGAGGCTTGGGGAGGGGCAGAAAAATGTTGTTTTCTCTTCGTCTGGCTTGGTTCGGTTTTTCTTCGTCTGGCTTGGCTCAGTGGGGCTTGGCGGAGTTTTTTGTTTTTCTCTTCGTCTGGCGTGGCTCGGTCTTTTCTTCGTCTGGCTTGACTCGGTGGGGCTTGGGGAGGGCAGAAGGTTTCTTTTTTTCTCTTCGTCTGGCTTGGCTCGGTTTTCTTCTTCGTCTGGCTTGGCTCGGCTTGGCTTGGCTCGGCGTGGCTTGGCCATATATGTGAAATCCAACAAGAAAGCCGAGAGTCCGCAATCCTGGAAAACCTCATGAGTGCCTGACAAGGAGAACGGGATGCGTACCTCTTTCGGCTCACAGACAACTTTGTCATGGTAAATGCATAGTCCGTCTGGTGGCTCAGCCAAAACTTCTTCAGATGCTGCAAGCAGTCCGTGGAGTAGTCTGTCTCCTTCTTGACGCCGGGTCGCTGGCTTTTCAGCTGCACCCATGCTGGGCAACTCCTGGGCAAGCACTCCTGCATCCTTCATCTTTTTGATGGCTCGAGCTGGATTGTGCTGCAAAGCATATTCACGAGCTAGAAGAAGCTTCCGTTGCAGAAGATCCTTCTTGCTGGTGCAGGTGCCCTTGTGCTCTACAACAAGAAGGTAGCTCTCATCGCTTGCATCCGGCGCTGGCTGGCGGAGTCGGAAGCAGCACTGGCGATCACAGTCTTCGCAAGCCAATTGCACAAGGCTGTCTTGGTCTTCTTGTCAGTGCTGTTCCGCAGCGTCGAGTGTAGTATGCTTTTCTCTTGCAGCCACTTCTGTGGCATTACCGCAGGTCGGGCTCAGCTTCGCCAATCAGTTGCTGTGTCGCATGCTCTGCTCAGTCCACTCTCACACGGCCACCCTTGTCCTTGCTCTCGGCAGCCACCAGCGTGGAGGAGTCAAGAGCTGAGTCTGCAACCGGAAGGCCGCCTGCTGCTGAGTCTGCAACCACTGACAAACACGCCGCAGCTGAGCCTGCTGGGTTCTCCTCCTGCACCTCCGCGGACGAGGACGACTCAGCAGAGCTAGGAGGAGCGGCCTCCCTTTTTCGGTAAAGCATGGTCAAGACAAGGCATCCCTACTACAAGGAATGGCCAGGACTGCAACTAAAGAAGGCCAAGGAGTAGCTAACTGTCGAGGTTGACTCCGGTGCCAAGCTAACATTTACCTGCTATGGTGTAAGGTTGACTCCGGTTTCAAGCTAATGTTTGCCTGCTAGTCTGGAAGGTTGACTCCGGTTTCAAGCTAATGTTTGCCTGCTAGTCTGGAAGGTTGACTCCCATGATCGGCTCGTCCCTGAACAGGTTGATTTCGATGTAAAGCTGGTTTGGAAGCAGTCTTGAGTGGCAGCCTTGAACCCAATTTGAAGCCGAAACAAAAGGAACATGGGTTGAAACTGATTCGAAGCAGTGCACCGCAAACGGGAGCTTGAAACTGGATGCAAGCTGGCATTCGCACTATGAGCTGCTCCCTGACAGCTTGGACCAGCTTGGATATGATTTAAAGCCTCTGGATTTGGAACAGGCTTGAACTCAGTTGGAAGCTCCTTGTGCTTACAGGAGAGGTGCTGTCATACCCTAAACCCGGCTTGATTTCAGATTCAAGCCTGTCTTGATTTTGAAGAACATCCTAATTCTTCCGGTTTCGGGATCTCCTCAAAGTTCTTGGAGACGGTTTCATCGAAGGCTTTAGTTTAGGGCTTACAGGCTCTGCAGTTGTGGGTGTGGGGCTTAAACCCTAGGGGTTTAGGGTTTAGGGTTATGACAACGGATTCAGGTAGAACCTTGGGGCTAGGAGGCGCATATTTTCCCAATGTGTGTTTTTTGCCTGTCTGCATATTTGTGTCAATATTTTTTACAGTGCCAATATTTTCCCAATATTTTCCCAATATTTTACCAATCTTTTTGGGCTGCCCTAATATTTTCCCGATGTTTTCCCAATATTTTACCAATATTTTCCTGATATTTCTTCACGGTTTAATTTGTGGCCTTTGGGGTACTTCTCAATTACACATCCTGCATACCTATCAAAGCCGGTTGCTATGTTGCTGGTCTACCTATGTCTTTGTGTATCTTAGCTGCGACGACGAAACTAAACACGAACCGGGAAGGAACAACAGCTACGCTTTGACACGCAAGTTCATGCTCACTCCTTGTATTGCCTGGAACAAAGAACCAAACGAACTCTTGCAAGCCCTGGTTGTGAACCTAACTTGATAATAGATGACCAGGTTTCAGGGAAAAACGAAGAGTGATGAGTTTTAATGCAAACCACATGTTGCAGATTGTGCACGGTATTTGGCCGCGGGGCATAACAGACACCTGCCTATCAGACTACAGTCCAGGGCTGAAGATTTCTGCCAGGACACGAGGGCAGTCATGTAGGGCTGCAAGACCGAACTGATACATACATTTACGAATGTTAACGGTTAACGCTTTCTACCTGGGATCCTACGTTCTACTTCGAACCTGTTCTGTCCGAAGTGTCACACCTGCTACTTGGGGTGTCGGGAAGCATAGCAGGGTTATGACCTTACAAAGTCCCGGGACCATCCGAGTAGTGCGTTGGGCGTCGGAACTATGGAGGTGAATGGGGGTTGAAGCTACCAGTCTACTCTACGGGTTCGTATAGAAGGCCACCACATCTCATCTCAGGAACCCGAAGCGGCCGATGCGATCTTCAAATAACCCCAAGCTTGAGACCTAACGTAAAACCTTACGAACCTAGGAGTCTAGTCATGCGTCCTCTCTTTGCGGTGTCTTCCGTTGAAACCCCTGCCCTAGCTAGAACTTGCTGGAGTCTAGTTCGTTTGTGGTTTGCTGCTTGTGCACGAGCAGGTGCTACTGTTTTTCTGTCGCATGTCATGCTGCTGCAGGCTACTGTGCACACGAATCAGGAATCAAAGCGGCGAAGACTGCGTGTCGTGAGACACGATCGCCTCTGCAAAAGGTGGGCCCTGATACGGGGCGCGCAGGCTATCTTTCTGTCGAAGCCTTAAGTCTTCAGTAGCTTCCAGGCGTAGTAGACTGCATTCGGTAAACCCTCAGACCTAAGCCCTAAGCCTAAACTCTGTAGGCTCTAAACCGACCCTACAAACCCTAAACGGCCCCTAAAACCTTAAACCGCTTCCGAAAACGACGAAACCCAAATGGCCCTTGTCTTAGTTCTGGTGCCTGGCCCGAGTGGCCCACTGCTGTAGAAAAGACACCCCACAGGGAGCAAAACGTGGTCCAGACTGTGCTGGCAAAGTGTCTGGGGCGCGGCTCACATGACTAAGCTTAAGCTCTCAGCAAGTCTACGTTTCGGGGGCGGGAGCGGGAACGTTCTCGGCCATGAACTCCCTGACGTACTTCTCGAGCGGCGGGAAAATGTCGTCGCTCGAACATCCTCCGGTCTCGGCAAGAAGCTTTGCCCACTGCTGATTCACAATCGTCTGAGCATCTTCCGCCTTGTCACGTGGCATCTGCAAGGCAAGCACGAACACCATCTCGTTGAAGAGGGCATGGCTCTCCTTGATCACAGCCTGACTGCTCTGGATCTCCTCACCCAAGCTCTCGATGGCCTCAACCACACCACTCTCCCACGAGGACACAGTGCTCACAGCATCCTGGAACGTAGTGGCCTGGTCCATCTCCTCCCAACGCGAATGAACAAGCGCCAACAATCACAGCAACGTGATTCAAAGGCTTAGGCTCGGCAGGCCCTTCGGACGATGAAGTGCAACGACAACACGGCATACTCACTCCGAATTTGCAGGGCCCAGGAGACTTCTTGAGGGCACACTCAAATCCTGACAGACTCCTATGTCCAAACTGGATAATCACAACAAGCCAGAAACGGCACTATCTACACTACTACTGTGTCACTTTTTATGTCCAAACAACGGTCTCGAGAAAGGTTGATTGGAACTACTGTCATCACCTGTGATAACAAGACACAACCACCTGTCTCGGAAAACCCATGGTCCTTGATGCAGTTGGCGAGCTCCGTCCTTAAAGCATTGCCCTTGAGAGTCACAGTCAGGAGGCTGGTGGACGCCGTTTGGAGGATTTCCTCAAGGCTCAGGTCGCCAATGGCCCTTCCTTGAAAATGATGCCTCCAGCTCTTGTCGCCCATGGCGGCGCCCAGACCTTTCTCAAGCTTCTCACGGAGCCCGCACAACGTGTCCTTGAAGTAGACGCAGGCCCTTGCCACACAGTCCATCAGGTTCTCATCGGTCATCAGCGGCACCACGAAGTCGCGGGTATTGACATCCCACATGCTGGCCTGGTGCGTGTTCAAGAACTCCGCTTCCGCAGCCGCAGCACCATCTCCAGATGCTGCTGCTTCAGCTTCACGCACACTTTCCTCTTGTTTCACCCGCTCTGCGAGAATGTTCATGGACTTGTTCAAGGCATCGCAGCGACTCAGAACGGACAAGAGAAGTGTTCGCGTCTTCTCTGCACCCATGTCTTTCGCCGCATGCTTGTTGGTCAGGCTGTTCGGCAACTTGTTCAGGACATTGGAAAAGGCGACCCCGGCCTTGAGCACGTCTGCGTGCAACTGAACACACTCGCACAAAGTGTGCTCCGGCGGGTAGTACAAGGCCAAAACCTTCTTGATGAGACCCACACGACCAGTGATGTGAAGCTGCTGAAGGGCACCCTTGTTGGCCTTCACCTGTCCAGCCAACAGAAAAGATTGAGAGCACGGCTGAAGCCTGGCATGCGACCCTCTGCCCTAGGCCCTACGACTGGAACTGTTGCTGCGGAGTCCCAGCGGGACAACGCAATTTAACTGACAGCCACAGCCATCACAAGTCACAAATGTCAGGAATGGCTCAGCTGCTCAGCTTCTGAAAACAAAAGAATTTGTCTGCAGCCCTCGATAAGCTGGCCTCTGCCACCAAGCCAACCAAAGCACTCACCGCAAGCCCAGTGACACGAACACCTGTCTCCACCGTCTTGGGAAGTGTCATGTCACTACCGCAACGCTTCAAGATGGACTCGAAAGCTGCCATGTCCGCGATACCATTCTTGGAGCTCAGCTCAGCGAAGGCCAAAAAATCATTCTTCATCAAGAGCTGCCCGTGCTCTGTAGCCCAACGCTTGAGCTCTTCACACTGGTCCTGCATGCCTGGCAGCAAGCGGAAGATCTCAAGACCGCGAATCAGGGTCCTGAGCTCCTCTTCCTTCAGGCTCAGAGACAGGAGCTGCTCGGGCTCCTTACTCAAGATGCCCTGGCTGATCTTCAAGATCTTCTTGCTTAGCAGAGAGGTGATCTCTTCCAGATCCGCTGACCGCACGCCCGCTTGCAACTTCTCGAACTCATCCAGCACGGTGTTCATGGAGCCGTAGGTGAGCTTGCTTTCCTCCAACGTTGCTTTGACACGCTGCTTGAGCGGTTCCAACGTGCGGGAGGTTGTTGCCGTACGCACAACGTCATCAATGGCTGCCTTCCAGGCCGGCTCTTTGCTAGCAATGTTGGCCAGACTGCGCTCCCAATTATCGCCCTTGCTGTTCAGCAAGTCGACCACGTCTTTGGAGCTAGTCTCCCAAGGGCCCTTGAAAGACCACACATGGCTCACGAACCGCATGACTTTCTCCACCCTCTCCAAGCACTGCAGCAGTGTATCGAAGCCAGGCTGCAGAAGGTCGTCGCTGTCTCGGTCCTTCCACGCATCAACTATCGCTCGAGCTGAGGCCATGTGCTTGAGGTACGCAGTTGCGAGGAGCTGCAGGTTCGTCTTGTAGACCTCCGGGCTCCTAAACATCTTGCGGAAGGCATCACCATTGAGGACTGCGACCATTGCCTCGCCAGTCGCCTGGGGACCATCTCAAACGGACGACTGTGGGCACTGCGCGACACGAACACAAGCTACTCGCACGGAACATTACACTGTCGTAACACGCAGGCAACACACCGCATGCACTAACGGACTGATCTTCTGGGTGCCTGCAGCACTGTGGTTGACTTCTTTGCAAGCCCTTCCAACTCCTCGGAAGCACTCGGCCCAGCGAAGCCACTTGCAATCTCCTGCAGAAGCGACTCCACCTGAGAGACACACGACTCCATTATGGCACCTTGCAGGAAGGTTTCGCCAGACCACTGCCCGGGATCCTTTCGTGGAATCTGCGACAAGACAATCTTCTCGGCAAGATCCACGCCTGCTTCGCCGACTGCGGTGTCTTTCGGCTGCATCTCCTGCAAGTCAGAAAGCAGGCCTTTGGTGATGGCATTGTTCACATCCACCTGGAGTACTGCAGGCATCTCGGCCCAGTACGGCTCCAATGTTGCGATGCAGTCCCGCAACTCACCCGTCGGCAAGGTGCCGAGGTCGTTGCAATTCACCACCGCGTGTGCCGCTTTGCACTCCTTTACACGCACAGCTAGCTTCTCGAACTCATCACTGTCTGGCCTGGACTGATTGAGCCCGTCCAAGATGCGCTGCGCCTGGAAATTGCAGTTCACAGCACGTGGCTCGTGGGAAGCTTAGTCAGTAACCAGTCAATGCCTTTCACCCAGCCCCACAGTGTCACTCAGTTACAAACACCCACACTAGTGCGGCTACAGTCGATCCTCCCGGACATCATTTTCGAAAAAGAACTACCAGCTACCTGCAGCTACCTGGAAACAGCAGACACTTAAAGCACTTCTCACACAGTTCACTTGTCACTGGCGTCACTAGCAGCTTTGCTATCACGTTGTCGTCAGCCAGCCACCCTGAAAAAAAACAAAACAAGGACTACCCGTGACTACCCCGCGATTGCAACAACACAAAACCTGGCCCAGGCACCGAAGGCAAGGTGTGGGCCTTCAGGTGGGGGCCGTCCTTGTCCAAGAAGGTCTTCACATTCAGGTGGATCAAACTCTTGGCGCTGGACGTAACCTTGCCAGACAAGTGGGCGAGGGCGACCTTCCTCATGTCGGGGTCCAGCGACCGGAGCAAGGCCTCCTGCTCCTGGTCCTTCTTCGTTCCACTGCGTTGGGACACTGATTTCATGTCAGCATCCTCGTCGGTGATGGCCGCAACGGGTGTTGGCATCTGAGGTGGCAGCTTGCTGCCACCTCGACTGTTCGAGCCGGCTGCTGCCTGCGCCGTGGCCGCAGCGGCCGCAGCTTTGCTGTCAAGCTTGCGGCGTTTCCTTTTGGCAGCCGCCTCCAACTCAAACCCGTCACCGAAACCCTCCATAGCTTCCATGGCCTGCCGGCTCTGCTGGACCGCCTCCTCGTCCACGGGGACCTCAGCAGCCTCGAGGCCTGAGCGCTGTTCCTTGGCCTGCGCCAGAGCCGAAGCCATGGCGTTCTCGAGTTTCTGGGCCACCTCCTCCCAGTGGCTGAACGTCTGCACATTCTGCGTCGCGACTTTGGCTGGCCTCGTGTTGCTGTACTTGCTGTTGAAGACATAGTCGAAAACATTCACGCCTTGACCCCTGATGAGTTGCGTCTCTGGGGTCAGCCAATTCTCCGCGTGCGAACAATGCCTCGAGAAATAAACCTTGCAGCGGCGAAGGCCGCGCAGGCCCTCAGGCAAACCATCAAGGCTGATCGGGTAGTAGTTGTGCTCCTGGCTGGCACTCAAGTTGGGAGTGCTGAATACCTCCATACCAAGTTGCTGCGGGCTCTTCCCGAAAGTCTTCGCGACCTGCTCTGCAGTCATGAGGGCACACTTCTCGTAGATCTCGTGCCCAAACATGTTGACTGCGGTGACGCTGGAAGATGGGGTGAAGGTGGGCAAGAGCTGGTTTTCCATCTCGATCTTCACGGCCTCGCGCGCTCGCATGAAGTTCTTCTTGAGGTTCGGATCGTCGGCAGGGGGCGAGTTAATCAGGGCTCCTGCCTCTTTCATGGTCAGGTGCGGGAACAGGCGGCGGACGGTATTCATGCACAGGATGTCGCCATCGGAGATGGGGACGCCTCTCTCGTCCGTCTGGAACACGGCTGTCTCGGTACAGGGCAGACCGAATCTTCCTTGCACATGGAATCTAAGCTCTGGATCCGATGACCTGCCTGGGAGCTCGCGAAACAGCAGCAGCAACTCACGTGCCGGACCTTTCCGGAAGGAGCTGACGTTGCATTGGGTTCCTGCTTCACCAGGATGCCTTCCTGTGTGCAACTGAACTCATCGCTCTTGTAAAGTATACTGGACTCTACTGACTCTACTTGCCAGACTCATTCTGCGACCGCACTGCTGAAATCATGAAACTCAGCGGCTGAACTACATGGTGACCGCTGCCGGCTTCCCTGTCCTGCTTGCCCGGGGCCTTGGCGCCCGTGGCCTTGGCGGCGCTCTTTTGCACCGCCTTCTTCCCCGCCATGAGCGGGGTGCAAGATCCGACGGCTTTTCAAGACACGGCAAGCACAGCAAACTGTGAAGCTGCACTACCACAGTGGTCGTTGGCCTAAGCAGTCTGACAACCAAACGGCACATGAGTCAGGGGTTCAGAGCTGTGCACAAGCTGTCAGACCAGCTCAACTGACAACAAAGCCGGCAGCATGCATCTCATCTGCACTCCAAGGTCCCATGTGCGACTAGTGCCACACGCAGCCGGTAGTGGCAATGGACCACTCAAGCTGAAGGACTCAGCATCCACACGAAAAGGCATGGAAGATTATAGAAATCAAGGCCTAGGAAGCAGCATATGTTGCAGCGTTGCTAGCATGGCATGGCATATCACAGGGCCCGTGCTGAGCTGTTTCAGCCTGTCTCCGTCTGAGTCTTCTCAGGAATGGAACCAGGGATCCAAGCAGCCGATTTCTGTACTCAGCAAACGCTGGCTGTGGCTGCACAGGATCAGCGTATGTCTAGGACTTCACAGGACAGACCGAAGCTAGAAGCCTTTGGTCAAGTGAACCGACCAAAGAATTGTACCCAGGCAGGGCAGGCATATGCCTTCTCCCGCCAAAGCTCGCAGCTGTCTGCTGCTGACGGAGGGCGGCACTCGGAAATTACGCTTGTGTCCTTGGAGCATCATGAGCTCCCGCGGGAGGACCAGGCCGTCACGCCCAAAAGAGTACATTATTGTGCTCTGGGTCAAAGCACTGGTGATGCCCTGCCTGTTCGTGCATTTCAACTGACCTGGATTTTGCGACACATCACAATACACATGTCTCAGGAGATTCTGCTTCTCCACAAAGCGCAAGTCCCATTGACTCGGAGCCAGATGGGTCGCGGCCGCTAAGTCGAGGATTTCGTCCACACGCTTAGTGCGAGGCATGCCTGTTCCTTGCATCCCTGGCGTCCATGGCTTGCACGCAGCCGCAAGACCCAGCTGCCCTCGCTTCTCGGCCGCTTGGACCATCCAGGACGCGCCCTTGTCGCCCTGCTCCTGCTCGAACAGGCAAACTCCCCCGACGGGCAGAATCGTCGTAAGCTGAGTCAGAACACATCCGACAAAATCCAAGTGACATGCGCATGTATGCGTGTATCTCGCTACATCACATGTAGGTATGTCGGGTCTGTGCATAAGTTCCCAGACGACACCCAACAACAGGGGCCCAACACACGAGCGTGGGGAGGGTTTGAGCCGAAGTTGTAGTTCGGGTACAGGTCTAGAGTCCAGCCCAACTGGAGGTTTTAGAGACCCCGCAAAAGCAAAATGCCATGTTGGTTTTTGCCCCCGCCCCCTGATGCTCATGATGCTCTCCTCTTGGGCATTTGCGTGATGCGCGCGCGCGCGCATCACGCAAAGCACCGCCACTATACTGGATGCTCGTGACGCGCGTCTCCATGGCTTCCTGGTTTGGGTGCCGGGAAGAGAAGAACCTGCACACTTAGTGCGGGGGCGTGGGGTGGTGGGCTGGGGGTGGGTGGGGGGGTTGGGGGGGTTGGGGGGG